GACTTGACGAGCATGTCGTTGATGTATACTTCCATGGATCGGCCGATTTGGTTGGTGAACATTTTGTTCACCAAGCATTGGTAGGTCACCCCAGTGTTCTTGATGCCAAATGGCATAACCCTGTAACAATAGGTTCCACGGTTAGTAATAAAAGAAGTATGTTCTTTATCGGGCTGGTACATCAGGATTTGGTTATATCCCGAGTATGCATCCATAAAGCTAAGTACTGCGTTTCTCGCTGTCGTGTCTACTAGCTGGTCGATCCATGGTAGTGGAAAACTGTCTTTTGGACAGGCCTTGTTCAGATTCGTGAAGTTGACGCAAGTCCGCCACTTACCATTTGACTTCTTGACTAAGACTGGATTGGCGAGTCAGTCAGGGTACTTCACTTCCCTGATGAAGTTGATTTCCAAGAGTTTGTCGACTTCATCCTTGAGCGCTTGAGAGTGCTCTGTATCCATGACCCTTCTTTTCTACCTTATGGGCCGAGCCTATGCGTCGAGGTTCAACTTGTGGTACATCACCTCGGGGCTAATCCCAACCATATTCGCGTGCACCTACGCAAATATGTCAAGGTTCCTCTTCAGGAACCCGAACCCGACCAAATTATCAGCCATTTCTCTGGTCAAATTGTTACCGATTTTCAACACGCGGGTTTGATCTTCCTTGCAAACACTTATTTCTAGTAGCTCTTCGGTCGGTCCCGCTGCGAGCTCTTCTCTGTTGATGCAAGGATCTATAGTGTCCTCTAGCAGACCGAGGTTCGGCTTGGATTCTACGATGATCATTGTCTTTGGGTGTGACTATTTCTGTACGGCATTTATAGCCCGATTATAGCATTCTCAAGATTCCTTAGTGCAGCTCTTGATTGTCGCGACTCCCCCGAAGGTCAAAAATCTCATCGCTTGACAGTACATCGATGTAACTGCACTTAAATCATCCAAGATTGGCCTTCTAAGGATAACGTTGTACGTGGTTGGGTAGTCCACCACTAAGAATTCGGCCATCACTGTTCTAACATTTGGTTTTGCCCCCAGAGTTACGGGAAAGTCGATAGTACTTTGGGAACCAGGTTGTCAACGGTGAACCCATAGAGTGGTGAGGGGCACTCTCATAGGTTCCTTTCTGTGAATCCCATTCCTCGGAAGACTCCCAAGAATATGATGTTTGTCGCGCTCCTGTTATTGACCATAATCCTTAACACTTTTGCATTGTCGATCCTGGCCGCGATTACAATCGCGTCATGATTATGACGTGGGGATGCTTCACACTCGTCAACTGTGAACCCCACTACCTCTCTTTCCTGTTTGGGCCGCTTGGGTTGCTTCTTCTCATAGCTCATTATTCGGGGGATCGAGTCCGTCCTCGCTTCCCAAGCATACGGCTCGCAAGCCGGTCTTGAGCTCCCCATTATGTCAGGCCCTCCATAGATCATATTCACATAGACTTCGTTAGGATTTGGTTAAGCCTGTTGAGCTGGAACCTGATCTTGTCCTAGGGCTTGACTACTTTGCTCGCCAAGGTTTTCGTGAGCCGGTTCTGCCTTAACAAATTCTTTCAGGTGGCCTATTCTTATCAGGTCTTCGATGGCGTCTTTTAGGGCTTGACAATCATTCATGTTGTGCCCGATATCTCTGTGGTACCGACAATATTTCTACCAATCTCTTCTGCGTAGAGCCCCCATCATCCTTTCTAGAGTGAGCAATCTCTTCGCCTCTCGGGACACTTCGTAGATGTGGGCGATGTCTTGAGTGAGGGGGATGTATTCTGCATACCGCGGGAAAGGTTGCCTGTCACAATGGTTATCTATCCTTTGCTTCTTCCTAGACCTGTTGCAATCCATATCGTTGCAATCTTGACTGCCACACTTATTTGAGGGGCGATCTCTTTACTCCCTGGTATTTCACGGCCATCTGGTAGAATTTAGCCAGACTCACATGATCTTTACTCTGAAGCTCTTACCACAGCTCGTGTTAGGTCTAATCCCTGCAATCAGCAGAGTTTGAATGGATTCATCGAGGGCGTTAACGACTTTTGCCTACTCATTTTGGAACCTCGTTAAATACGAGGTTAGTGATTCGTCTTGCTCTTAGCGAATGTTGCTCAAGTAGCTAAGCGGCATTGCGAACTGCCTCCTCCCTTGAAATTGTTGTAAGTACAACGAGGAGAATTGTTGCCAGGAGTTGATAGAGTTCGTCTTGAGCCTTTTGTACCACCTCTTGGCATCTCCGACTAATATGACTACAAAACACCAATATTTCGCTAAGTCACTGACCTAGTGTAGCTCCATCAAGTCGTTGAAGTTGTCAAGGTGGTCTCTGGGGTCTCCTTTCCCATCGAACTTGCTTTCCAACGCCCTGAATCCTTGTGGGAGTAGGGCCTAACAAACTTCCTCTGTAAAGGGGGAACTTATTACTTCCTCTGCTAGGTTGTTCTGGCGAGTTTTTAGATCATCAAACATCCTCTGCATGTAATCTAAGTCTTCTTTTGGTTACCCTGGCTAGCTCTGTTAAGTCTCACCTCGAGCAAATGAGTCTGCAAGTCTATTGCTTGCAAAGCTCCTCCAGCGTGTGCATTGATGCGTGAGGTCGAGTCATGATGGCTGGGTTGATATGTGCTATCATACTCGTCAATGCGTTGCTCACGACGTCGGTCATAACCGGAACATCGGTTATTGCCAGATTGACGTACATGACTCGCTTCGCGAGCCTGTGAAGATCAATCTTGCCTTGTATATGGGTTAAAACTGGCATGTTGACGTTTGGGATACCACCGAGCTTCTCGGTGGTATCCATCGCCTTCGCTTTCCCTCAACGGTTGCTTCATCGACTGCCTCCCAGGGTTTGTTTGCCCACAAGACTGAGGTGTTGATCTCCCCTTAGCGATGACGAAATAGACTGTCCAACTGTAGAATTCATACCTGTTGGGATTGCATTGGCGAAACGCGGTTGGTCGTGGTTTTGGGCAACTAGTTGTTGGTTCCTCAGCTCAGCCATGTTCTATTGTACCGCTTATGCAACCATTGTCCTAATCATCTCCATCAGCTGGCCGTTCTCGAGGGCTGACGTCCTTGCCCTCTAATTGTTCGCAGTGTGCTGAGTTGGCGGCACAGGTGGTTGGCGTCTGGCGTTCTCCTGTTGCACCTCCTGGTGGGTGGTTTCCACGTTCTCATGATTTTCAGTGGTAGTTTTCGATTTGGTGTACACCATTTTGGTCTTAGAATAGATAAATTGCGGTGAATGTTTGTCGGAATCTTTGAAATATTGGCGGAAACCCTTCTTCTAACGCCAAAATATTGATACAAAATTTTGCACCAACCAGGGTGATCCGATCAACCTTGCCGGGATCGGAACTGATGTGTGCGTGATTAGTGAAAATCAGCGATGAATATGAATGAAATGAACTAAGAACAAATACATTTTTAAAGTGGTTCGGCCGGGTTAACAACCTACGTCCACTTTGTTTTTGTATTTGCTGTGAGAGCTTACGATGCGATTTTTATCTGAAATTCATAACCTCCTCATCATTGTCTGAGAGGGGTTTATATACAAGATTTGTACAAAAGAAGAAACAAAATTTAGGGGATTACAACTAATTCGAATCATAATTCTGATATCCTCACGATTGGACACTGTGATTACGCAGTGATCACCGTTGATCCAGTCTTTCCCGCAATATCTGGGATCTGAAGTAATATGGGGATTAATTGAATGATTCCTTGAATTGTTCGTGACTAACTTATGCGGGGTCGATCAATCATAGTTGCTGAGCTCATTCTAGATCGAGCTATATCCTCAAGTTGGCCCGAGCTTGGCGGAAAAACCACACACAACAATAGATATATATAATCATGATTTAAGGTGATTAAGAGTATTTAAGAAAAAGTACTTTGTTATCAATATTCAAAACACATATACATAAAACATTGATACAGGAAAAACATTTTCTTTACAGCTCTCTCTATTTTATCCACACAATATTCCGATCAATAAACAAAAAACATTTTTTTATCTACCTTTCTCTTTTTTATCCACACAACATTCAAATCAATATATATATAAAACATTTTTAATCCAACATTATCTATTTTGTCCACACAATATTCAAATCAATTACAAAAAATATTTTTTATCCAACCACTATTTTATCACAATATGAACTAACGTATTCATTTGTTGGCAAAAATGAGATAAAATGGTGTGCCTTTGTATGAAAATATGTTGAAAGAAGTTCTTACACTTGCAATAAGGGATTACACTTTCAACTTTGGGAGATAAAACGGGTACCTTTACATGTTTTGTTTTGTTTTTTTTTTTTTAAGCAATTTAATTATTAAAATAAATTAATTCTTACTTTCCAATAAATTAATTATTATTTTCTAACCTCTATTATTGGAAACATTAAAGTAATAATTATTACTCTCTCATCCTTTCATCCTTTCATAATGTAAATTGCTTTTCCTCCAAAAAGCAGGGCTTAGGAGCTAAAAATAATTTTAGTTTACTAAAGGGTAAATTTGTAAATTAATCTTTCCAAAAAAGTTTTTGATTAGGCCAATTGATCCAAATAGCACTACTCATAGTTAAATACCCAACAAAGTTAAACACCTAATTAAATTAATCACTTCCTATTAAACTTATTTATGCTAAGTAACTAACTAATTAATCTAAAGCTAATTTGAAATGTGAGCAGACCAACTGGTTATTCCGTTCTAGACTTTTGAACGGCTGAGTGTTTTTAGGAGTTAGAATTAGGGATTTACGATTTAGGTATTTTGGGCTTTTTTTTTCTATAATTTTCAATGGATGCCCGTGGTTATATCCAGCCCACCCGAAAAAAAGGACCGGACTAGATACAAGTCCAAAATAAACGGGTTCATATTTATGGACCCGTACGCTATATTATTTTGACGGATAGGGGTCCATCCACAGATACGGGCCCAAACTCTCAGGTATAACTATATATAAGGCTCCCCCCGACCCTGAGGCCTCCAGTCCTTTTCATTTTCATTTTTACGCGCCTTCAAAATCCCGCGCTTTCTGCTCAGAAAAAGGTACCGCAAAACCTAAACTTTCTTGGATTGATAAAAAAATTTAATTTCTGTAGCTTAATTTTCAAAGATTGAATCTAAGTGTGTTTCGTGCGTGTATTTGTTATTTTTGTAAGTCTTATTTTGAATCTTTAAAGTTTGGTTGTATTTAACTGTTCAGAAATTTGAGGTGATGAGATTTGATTGTGTATTTTGTGGTTATACTTGTTCTCTAGTTGAATATAAACGTTAAACACTTAAAAGTGTTAGAAATTAAAATGAAAAACCAAAACGGAGCCAAATTTAAGACCCTAGAAATTGAAAAATTGTTCAAAATAGCCTAATATTTCTCTGTTTGGGTTAGGGTTTTGTCAAACAACCACCTAACCAAACGGTTTCTGTGCTAGGGTTTTGCTGTCTTTTTCAACCTGGTGTTTTCTATCTCCTTGCCTACATTTATATAATTATTTTTCCTTCTTTTGACGAATATGATATAAAACATCCCTCTATGAAATTGTTTCACTCATTCTTCTTGTTTTGATTTGAATCGACTATAGTACAGTAATGAGTTTGGTTTGTTTGATCTTATAGTGTAATGGGTTCTAGTTGGTTGGTAAGGTGCAGGACTTTTTTCAATTACGTGGGTTGGAAATGTTTGTGCTTCAATTGGGATTTAGCTTTTCTGAGGAGTTAACAACATGTGTGTACTACGGTATTGTACAATATATGAGATGTGTCTTGAAAATGTACTGAATAGGTGCTGCTTTGTCAGGACTTGGAAAGTAAATATTTGCTCACTAGAGCTAGAAAATGGGGTATTGTGAGTTATGAGTGGTCAACTTGTTTATGTTTTACCTGGGCTTAGTATGTATTACAGTGAGTTAAACTATGATGTTTCCGGTAAGGTGTTGTATAATATAGGAATGGTCAAGATTGAAATGACTTTGAAATTGTATCAAATAGGTATGGCTCGCAAAGGAAGATAAGAGTTCGCTTTTCAAGTTAATTAGATTTTACCTAAGATTGTTCTCTGATATTTGATGCTACAGTATCATTTCAAATCGGCTAAATTAGCGGCATGGACATTTTATATATTAACAGTATAATCAGTATTCACTTAATGCTCATACATATAGATTGGATTTAAAAGCTGTAGTATCTGTAACAATTTAAAATTTCAACAATGCATTATGCTATTTCCAGCGTATGCTTTCATGTTCGCAAGTGATGTATCCTTTTCCTTTTTCTTTTTGAAATTGCTGAGAGGAAAAAAAAATTATGTGTTATGTTATATTCGAATATATGCCTAAATTCATGTAACTTTTATATAAATGGAAGATTCTCTGTACAGTTAAGAATCGCTGAAAATTAATATTGCAAATCCAGGTATGTGTTTAGAAGGAGATTATATGGACCTGGATTTTTTTTTTTTCGTAGTGAAAAGCATTTTCCAATAGGCGAACGTTTATGCTGCTATTTTACAATGTTGTCAATAGCATTTGACTGCATATAAATTACAGATTAGGAACTAGAGGCTTTTTGACCTTTTACATTGCTGTTCACTTCTTTTTTTTACTGCATTAAAATCGCTTATTTGTAATTCCACCTCATACAGATCAATTCCTCATTTCTCATATCTTTTTTTTATGCACTTTTCCAGATATTTAGTTTGCCAATTAATTGGCCATTGTTTTTCAGAAACTGTCATATATGTAATCTTAAATATTGAGAGATTTGTTGCTAAATTGTTTTTCAACCGGTTGAGCATCATCATCGTCTTGATTATCATTCCGAATCTGATTTACCGGTCTCTATGAATACTTTTACTATATTTTGATCCCTAATTTGAAAATCGCTCACATTGTAACTCCTTGGAGCCATATCTTATGGCACAAATTCAATAAATAATGTGTGGATAATGTGAAGAGGAAGATACGAAGAAGTTTAAAAATCAAAATTGATTTTTGAAATTAAAAATAAAATTCTTGGAAAGCAATTTTGAAAAGCTTTTTCAAAAATAAGTTTATTCTGACTATCTTTCCATTTGGCTTTACAATAAGTTTTACTGCTTCTTTTATTCAAGGTGTGCCATTTTGTATTTTGCAGGATATGGATACATCAAACCCTGCAGTTTTTGTCAATGGAGGACTGCTGCGGATGTATGTCGGACGGCGGGTTCGAACAGTGATTCAGGTTATACAATCTGACAGTGGAGGTGTGACTGGAAAATCCACAGATGATCACCAGCTAGTTGTGAAAGGCTCCCAACCAACATTTCCTCTGACAAATTTTGTTGAGGTTATTGGCATTGCTGATAGTGATAGATCCATCAGAGCTGAAATGTGGACCAACTTTGGGAACATATTTGGTATGATTTTCTGCTACTTTACCATCTTTTTGTCTCAATATTTGTCAATCCTATAATTTTCTTGTATGATGGCATGAACAGTTTGATAAATTTGCTGTAGTTTCATAGATCTGCTGCTTGAAGATGACATTGTTTCTATAAGAATATAACCTCTTCTCAGCAGCAGTAGCAAACATCATTTGCATTGGCCTTCTGCTTCAAGAAACTGCTTGAAGCTTTAACAATGCCATTCAACAAATTTTAAATGGGACTAAAGTTATTGATGCCTGTAATATATTTTTAAAATTACTGTTAGAAATTAGGAGTACTTAACTTGCAGTATTGTTAACAAAAACATGTTAGCATGTAGACACGTTTTGAACATATTCTTTTGGTGCCATCTAGGAATTCTTTCGACAGACCAGGTTGTAACTTTTTCTATAAGATTTGTGGTGTCTATTAGCTTCCAAAACCTCACAATGACATCAAGAGAACGTTATGGTAACTCTGTGTTGATTGCTGATCCTATGAGCTTTTGAATAAGGGTAGATAAGGATGAGGCCGTCCTCATCAGCAATCCCAATACACTAGTGTTGAATTTTCCTGGTATTGTAAAATGACTCCCATTTCAAAAGGTAATATCAGATTCAGAAAATAATTGTATAAGATGTTTTGTGTAGATACCAGAAACCCATCCTTGGTTCTTTAGCAAAACTTGTATGTTCTTTGATTATCTAAACCTTTGTGTGGTTTCTGAAACACTTTTATTCTTTTTCTAAACGGTGGCAGACACAAATAACTATAATCAGCTTTGTCAGCTTGCAAATGGAGAATACAAACATTTGTTCATCTGAGGTACACTTGGTATACTTTTATGATACTGTTTGGTATTTTCCATCCTATGACAATGTAAATAGGACTCCATGATGAAGTTCTCTTGCTTTTGATCTTGTCTTTGGAATTCTCATGAACCTGAGTTTGGTTTTTTGATGATAGTAAAACCAGTTGTTAGTAGTTCATTACATTTTTGCGCAATCCGAGTCTATATTGCCTTGTGAAATATTACAATGGTGAGAATTCTTTGGATTTGAGTGTTGCTTATGAGATTGATAGTTACTTATTTATTGACTTGAAATAGTTTTCATTGAAGGAGCCAAGCCTGCTGTTTATATCTTCTCCAGGGGACACATTGTTTCCTTAGGTTTTATTAACAGCTAATTATCCCTCTGTTTATAAGTTTAAAAAACAAACAAGGCTTTGGATGTCACAATGTGAGAAAGCTGCAAAGGAATCTGTTGTTATTTTTAAGTTAAATTTGAGATAAACAAGGGCAAAATAGACATTTTTTACGTGGAGACAAAGTCTTAGGGTGCGTTTGGTTTATTATTTTGGATAGGATTTTGGGAATAATATTGGATAGTTGAATAGAGGAGTATTACGAGGTAAAATTTAAAAATTTATAAAAAAACCCTTAGGTTTACTAATTTAATTAAACGTCCTAATATATAAAATGACAAGAACACTTTCACCACCTGTAGTGTTAGATTCCGGTCAGATTTTGGCTGGAAAATTGCGTTACGACATAGATCGATCCGATTTGTGTCGTAACATGTCAACCTGGCCTTTTTCGGCCAGATCCACCACGGATCTTGTTGGAAAAGGCCAGATCTATGGTCAAATATGGCCGTTGACGGTTGTAAAGGTCCATCTTTGGCTGTCGACGGCCGCAAAGGTCCATCTTTGATCGTCAGCGACGGCTAAAGATATGGTCGTTGTTGATCATCAACGACGACCATTTCTTTGGTCGTTGCTAACAGCCAGATTTAGCTTTTTTTTGGTCAGATTCACTGTGGATTTGGCCAAAAAAAAGTCAAATTGGTGAATAATCTACTAGTTTCGTTGTGGTGTAAGTCGATGTGATAGATTCTGGCTACCATCGACAGTGGTTGTCGGAATTTGGTAAGTATGAGTGGGTGGGGATGTTTTTGCTAATTTTTAAACTTTTTTTGGGGGTATTTAATGAAATTAATAAATTTAAGGGGTCTAAAAGTAATTTAAAAAATAAACTAATATTTCTAAAATAATGTGCCAAACAATATTTGAGGAATATGGGTAGAAATATTGAATCAAACGCACCCTTAATTTTCTAACTGATTTGTATTTTCTTTTTACTAAGGATGTTTTCTAATTTTTTTCTTGTATTGTTTAAAATTTAAAATTTTGTTAGTTTTATACTGTTTAAAAAATTGAAATAAATTGCAAATATGTAAATATATGGTTTTTGTAAAGGAATTTTTTTTTTTTTTTAGTTTAAATAAATTAAAAAATAAACAAAATTACAAATATATATATCTTCCAAATACAATTATAACTGAACAATAGTCAAGTATAGAATATAACTTATGGGTCAATTTGTAATTGCCTGAGGCAAAATTCATGAAGGCCAAACTAAAGAAACCTGATACGATAATCCATGTTTAATAGGCACAATTATTTGAGCCCTTCTAATGCTCTTTTTAAAATCTATATTAATTAAAATTCTTTTAGTAAAAACTTTTTTTCCAAATATATCCTTATCTTCTTTCATTCTTATACTTACCTCTCATATATATTATTATAACCAAAACATTGTGCCAAATCAAAATAAAAATTTGTTAGTGGATGGATGTGTATAACCATGACTGATTAAAGATAATAGTAGAGGAATAAGATAAGGTTAATTTTAGAATATAATTTATTAAATTCGGGGTTTAGAAACATTTTTGATGATGTTAAAATTACAACACTCTCGTCAAGTTTTATCCAAACTTTTTGTAAACCCCATTATAAATAAAATTAGTTGAAAGCATTAATTTCTAGATATTTTATATTTATTACGGAAAATGCTCTTGTATCATCTTTTCTTAAAATGGTTATTCTATCTTATGTTTTTTTATTTAGTTATACGTTTGGTTGTATGATTCAATTGCAAACATAACATTATTTACATAATATCAATCCAATTAAAGGTAAAATATGAAAATTGTTTTTATATAAATCATCATCCATCAATGCTAATAATAAGGTTATTAAAAAGAAAAGCTACATCTACAGTCTTTTTATGTTAAGCAATTTTCATACATATTAAAAAGCTTGAGAGAATTATATACTTTTGCTCTAATTAAAATCATTCTATCATCGTTAAATAAAAATGGTTAGTAATTATGGATAGTGGGGATATTTTGATAATTTCAACTGATANTTGCCTTGTGAAATATTACAATGGTGAGAATTCTTTGGATTTGAGTGTTGCTTATGAGATTGATAGTTACTTATTTATTGACTTGAAATAGTTTTCATTGAAGGAGCCAAGCCTGCTGTTTATATCTTCTCCAGGGGACACATTGTTTCCTTAGGTTTTATTAACAGCTAATTATCCCTCTGTTTATAAGTTTAAAAAACAAACAAGGCTTTGGATGTCACAATGTGAGAAAGCTGCAAAGGAATCTGTTGTTATTTTTAAGTTAAATTTGAGATAAACAAGGGCAAAATAGACATTTTTTACGTGGAGACAAAGTCTTAGGGTGCGTTTGGTTTATTATTTTGGATAGGATTTTGGGAATAATATTGGATAGTTGAATAGAGGAGTATTACGAGGTAAAATTTAAAAATTTATAAAAAAACCCTTAGGTTTACTAATTTAATTAAACGTCCTAATATATAAAATGACAAGAACACTTTCACCACCTGTAGTGTTAGATTCCGGTCAGATTTTGGCTGGAAAATTGCGTTACGACATAGATCGATCCGATTTGTGTCGTAACATGTCAACCTGGCCTTTTTCGGCCAGATCCACCACGGATCTTGTTGGAAAAGGCCAGATCTATGGTCAAATATGGCCGTTGACGGTTGTAAAGGTCCATCTTTGGCTGTCGACGGCCGCAAAGGTCCATCTTTGATCGTCAGCGACGGCTAAAGATATGGTCGTTGTTGATCATCAACGACGACCATTTCTTTGGTCGTTGCTAACAGCCAGATTTAGCTTTTTTTTGGTCAGATTCACTGTGGATTTGGCCAAAAAAAAGTCAAATTGGTGAATAATCTACTAGTTTCGTTGTGGTGTAAGTCGATGTGATAGATTCTGGCTACCATCGACAGTGGTTGTCGGAATTTGGTAAGTATGAGTGGGTGGGGATGTTTTTGCTAATTTTTAAACTTTTTTTGGGGGTATTTAATGAAATTAATAAATTTAAGGGGTCTAAAAGTAATTTAAAAAATAAACTAATATTTCTAAAATAATGTGCCAAACAATATTTGAGGAATATGGGTAGAAATATTGAATCAAACGCACCCTTAATTTTCTAACTGATTTGTATTTTCTTTTTACTAAGGATGTTTTCTAATTTTTTTCTTGTATTGTTTAAAATTTAAAATTTTGTTAGTTTTATACTGTTTAAAAAATTGAAATAAATTGCAAATATGTAAATATATGGTTTTTGTAAAGGAATTTTTTTTTTTTTTTAGTTTAAATAAATTAAAAAATAAACAAAATTACAAATATATATATCTTCCAAATACAATTATAACTGAACAATAGTCAAGTATAGAATATAACTTATGGGTCAATTTGTAATTGCCTGAGGCAAAATTCATGAAGGCCAAACTAAAGAAACCTGATACGATAATCCATGTTTAATAGGCACAATTATTTGAGCCCTTCTAATGCTCTTTTTAAAATCTATATTAATTAAAATTCTTTTAGTAAAAACTTTTTTTCCAAATATATCCTTATCTTCTTTCATTCTTATACTTACCTCTCATATATATTATTATAACCAAAACATTGTGCCAAATCAAAATAAAAATTTGTTAGTGGATGGATGTGTATAACCATGACTGATTAAAGATAATAGTAGAGGAATAAGATAAGGTTAATTTTAGAATATAATTTATTAAATTCGGGGTTTAGAAACATTTTTGATGATGTTAAAATTACAACACTCTCGTCAAGTTTTATCCAAACTTTTTGTAAACCCCATTATAAATAAAATTAGTTGAAAGCATTAATTTCTAGATATTTTATATTTATTACGGAAAATGCTCTTGTATCATCTTTTCTTAAAATGGTTATTCTATCTTATGTTTTTTTATTTAGTTATACGTTTGGTTGTATGATTCAATTGCAAACATAACATTATTTACATAATATCAATCCAATTAAAGGTAAAATATGAAAATTGTTTTTATATAAATCATCATCCATCAATGCTAATAATAAGGTTATTAAAAAGAAAAGCTACATCTACAGTCTTTTTATGTTAAGCAATTTTCATACATATTAAAAAGCTTGAGAGAATTATATACTTTTGCTCTAATTAAAATCATTCTATCATCGTTAAATAAAAATGGTTAGTAATTATGGATAGTGGGGATATTTTGATAATTTCAACTGATAATATACTTTTATTTATGAAAATTTAATTAATGGGGTTTAAAAAGAGTTTAGAGAATGGGGCTTAAATAACACTATTCAATAAAATATAAGATCTGTCTAACTTGATAGTTTCTGTACTTTGTGCGGCCGGTAGATAGTAATTTCACTGGTTTTAGGGCTGAGGAGGGTATTAATTCTACATAATTAGATGAATTATCAATGTATTTTTAAAGAATTATATATATACTACAATATATCAGTGATTCGCTAATAAAGACGTACTGTATGGGTTAAAAATTGTGTTAGGCCCGACGAGCCCCAACATACAAGACATATAGATGAGAATCGAAGGTCTTAGTCTAATTCCGATTGAGCTTACGCTCAAATCCATCTTGTAAATTGTTTTCTCTACGAGTTAGGTTATCTTGCAAGTTAAACTAAGTTGGGTCAAGCCCACTAGCCTATAATAGTTCAAAGTAGGAAGCAATATCTTATTCTGTTTCTACCATCATGGATTACAATAATTAATGTTAAGCTTAACCCAATAAGATAAAAAGATCTTATCTCTTTCCTAAGAACGACTCATTTACCTAACAAGACTCTAAGTACTGGGATTTGAATCTTTTGGGTTTACTATATAAACAGGGACAAATTCTCTCATTATTCATTCAAAAATCACCCATAACACCTACTTACTCCTAAGTTCTTACTCCCAAGAACTGCCTTATTAATTTGGTACTTTGCCTTTAGCTCTCTTTCAATCTCGTTGGCTTGAGCGTCAGAGTATCTATAACAGACACTACACCGATGTCTATCTAGCCTACACGTTTCCACTTTTGTGTTATTTGTACAAGTTTACCAGGTTGTCTATTGTACAAGTTTACCAGGTTGTCCCCCCCGAATTTTCACCGTCCACAAAATCTACTTAAATACCGTTAGATTCATATGAAAACTATCATTTGGATCCAATGATAATGAATCCACTGATACCTCACAAAAGTTTAAATAGGAAGAGTTAAGTATATATACTATGTATATTAAGATTAAAAATGGTTAAAAGAGATTTACGATGGGCCAGTTTCATCTCAGCCCAATTGTATTTAACACAGACACAGTAATGCTGCCACGACATCTCCTTCTTCTTTGAAACTCAGATCGAAGATGAGTTACGAGGGCAAGGCTTGTGTAAATTGCGTATTCATCATCTTCCTTCTCGTGGCATCTACTCTTCTTTCTCGCTCTCCAGTTGAAGCCAAATCTATTCGCCCAATAACTGTAACTCATTCTCCTTGTTTCCCTTTATTTACTTATCCTATTTTATTCTATTTTATTAATTTTCTTTGGCAATTCCTGTGAAATAATTATAAAAGGACAGTGAGATCAGACAGAAGAAGCTCGAATGCTATGCTAATATAGAGAGGTACGCTTATTTCCATTCCAAAAAAATTGAATGATATTATTATAATTTATTAATCTGGATTTGCAATTTTTTGAAAGCAAAGAATAAATTTTTTTAATTATATTTGTTATTTGGTCTCTAATTTTTCTTTTCTTCCAATTGTGAATTTAAATTTCTTTTTATTTTGTTTGATTTGTATACAGGTTCTTTAGGTCTGTAATTTATGTAATAATGTGTACTATAATATTCGCTATTTATTCGTAATTATAAAATTTTAGAGGATGGCATAGTGTTTTAAAATCTTTGTTGTATAGTTGTGTCTTCTATCTTCAATTAGAAGGCAACAATAAGGTATGCTTAATCTGTAAAATTATCGATTGACAAAATGTTTTTTTTTTTGGTGTAATGTTGTGCTTTTTGATGGGATAGTGGATTATGGGGTCCGAAATGCAAGTCTTCGATGATTGCAAAGGAGAACTGTGCGTTGCGATGCCTTTCCCCTACTTGTTATGAGCTCATTTATGAGAGTGATCCTGTAAGATGGTTCATTTCAAGTTTTCCTTTTCTGACTTCCATTTTATTATCTCTTCATTTTTTGGGGCTATAATTTATATTTATGTCATTGTTTGTAACTGCAGCTTGAAGAAGGAGAAAAAGATTTTGTTAGGGGCCAAGAATACAAATATTGTATGCATAAGTAAGTTCAGCAATATCCTTTCAGTTTCATGTATATACTCTCTCTTAATGTATGCTTATTAATTTCTGTACGTTATTTTGTCATGCAACTTGATTATAAAGGCCGTAAGTAGAAGTTTTCACTTGATTGTATCTAGTGATAATGAATGGGAAATGAAGCTTTTTTTGTTTAATTGAAAATTGGATGTTTTTCTTGCTTCCTTCCTATGCTCTTGCATTTTTGCAAGGATATAGGTGATGTGGATAATCCACAAATGATTTTATGTCCATGGGTTTTGATATATGGTCTTTCTAGTAAGATTGTATTGAAATAGTTCATTTTAGTAAAGCATATAGGTAGATAACAAGTGAATGGACTTCTAGTTAGTAGATATTTTGAAAATTCCATAACTTTTATTTTGGAGAAATCATTTTTCTTTTCTGGGTATTACTGTACTGAGTATTATGACTATGAAATCCGGGTTTGCTTTCTATATTTCTTGTGTTGTTTTTTATTTACCGTCAGACACCTGGGCCTAATTGATGGTATAGGTTTAACCACTAACCTGTCTTCTGTCAATTTCTTTAGAAAGAGCTTTCTTGTTACATAATACTAACTGTAAACTATAAATTTCTGTATCTCAATGGTTGTTTGTCTTTATTCTAAGTAGAATGTGGATATTATTATAAATCTTGGTTTATAGCTTTCTCAGGCTGCTAAGTAGTTAGAATACTTTTCTTGAAGGATAGCTTTGTTCATGTGAGAAAGAAGTTGAAGACATGCGTAAATGTGTGTGAAACTCTACATAATTGTGTATGAAATTTGCGTTAAAAATAATAAATATCTAAATTATGAAGCATCATATTTTATGGCATGCATTTGTGAGACTTGTGGAGGATGCATTATAAGAAAATAGGTTTGTTGTATTGTTATAATATTGGGATGAGATTCCTTTGTTCCTTTTCTCATACAGCGACTAAAAATGGAAAAAAATAAAAAATAAAGAACTCCAATATAATAGTTGAAATGTTTTACCAATCTAATTACTTTGGTGAATTTTATTGTAGAGTACTAAGGTTTTTTTTTGCGATGGAAGGTGAACTGTAATGGACCATGATGCTGTTGTGTTTGTGTCTTGTTCTTGGTGGTTTTTGAGACAGGTTGTGCCTTGTATCATGTGTCTAAGTTTGTGCCTTTTGAAGCATGTAGTGGTCAGGCAAATTGTAAACTAGAACATTGGAAGGGAACATTGTGCGTGTATTGTTTATTAACTTCTAATTTAGCAACATGGTCTAGTTATTTGCAGAGTGGTGCAACTTGATGCTCCCCTTATAGTCTACATAAAAGTTAAAAAACACTATATATATTGGATGGTGATCTTCACTGAATTGCATATTCACTCTTAATGATTGGCACTGCACTATTAGATTAGTAAATTTTCTGAATTTAGTAGAGTGACAAGTATGTGATCTTAATCTATAAGCTTGCTCTAATCTATCATAGTGAGCTGCCCATTTAAGAACCCCTAAGATAAGCCACTAATTTTGATCATTATAGTATAATTTAATTGTTTAAATATAGCATTGTGTTCATTTTCTTCTGTTTCTGACTTTGTAATTAAGAGTTGCTTAATCATGTAAAAACATCAGTGAGATTGTCTTCTTTGCACTTAGTGTAGTTTTTCAGCATTGTTGATGCGATTTTTCACACCAATGAGATGTACGCAAGCCTTCAAAGAAGTTTGCGCAAAGGGTCTATAGGAGACAGAGAAAATATAATGCTGAATCTATAGATTAATGGAAGAAACATGTAAAGTGAATGAAATATGAAACAATAAATAATAGAGTAAACAAGAGCAATTTTTAAAGTAGTTCGGGTGCAAAGTGCAACTCTTATGTCCACTGTTATCTTATTGATGTGTTTACAACAAAATATATTTGATTCTAAAGAGAAAAAGTTGCTCTATAACTTTTGAGAAATTGAGAGCTTGGATCCTTGATTTGGCATGGGAATCCCCTATTTATAGTATTCTGAGGGTGATCTTTGGTGTGAAGTAATCCACATGCAGCTTGATATGTGTCATTGCATCAATTAGTTTAGAGGTGAAATAGTTAATATGCGAGTTAACACGTAGTTTGGAGAACAACTTACAGCTTTAAAGGGTGAAGAACTTCACATGCAGTTTGACATGTGTCACTGCATCAATTAACTTTTAGGTGAAGTAGTCCATATGCGAGTTGACACGTAGCTTGGAGAACAACTTGCAGTCTTAAAGGGTGAAGAACTTCACATGCAGACTGACATGTGGCATGGTGATAATGCATTTTGAATCTTACCTTTGAAGCAATCCTTGGTCGACTTATAAGTGAAGTAACTCTTTCATGGTTTGTGTTAGGATCCCACATTGAAAGGGAAAAGGGTGGGCATGTGGGTTATAAAGGCTTGGGCACCCTCCCTTGGCAAGTTGGTTTTCCAAGAAGAGTTCTACCCAAGCCCATGAAAGACTCATGGCCCAGCCCAAATTATTGAGTTATTGGAGTAGGTTCCTATCAATTGGTATTAGAGTATGATTATGCGCACGCGTGACAGGTTGACTTTGGGCCTAGGCTGTTACCCCAAGGAAAGGGGATCCGCAAAGTCACCCAAGGGGTTAAGAGGCTGACGTGGAGCCCACGCAATAGGGCCCAGTGGGCCCCCACGAGGGGTCGAGAAGGAGAGTTATTGATAGGCTTCTAGGCAAAGTAAGACCCAAAGGGAGGGCAGTAAAGCCTGATGAGGGCGGGCGCTCTTTGGAAAGAAGACCAACGAGGGCGTTGGGTCTCGAAGCGTGGGGGAATGTTAGGATCCCACTTTGAAAGGGAAAAGGGTGGGCATGTGAGTTATAAAGGCTTGGGCACCTTCCCTTGGCTAGCCAGTTTTCCAATGAGAGTTCTACCTAAGCCGATGAAAGACCCATGGCCCAACCCAAATTGTTGAGTTATCGGAGTGGGTTCCTATCAGTTTGACACACAAGTTGGAGAGTTTCAACACGTGACGTGAATTCATTCTGTGTGGATTTACAACACACGCGAGTAAAAAATTGATGCCACGTGCATGCAAAAGCCAAAAACCATGCGTGCAAGCACACGCATAGGAAAGGCAAAAGCAACACATGTGAGCAAAGATTAAAAACTATGTGTCCGAGTAGGGTTAAGATCGCAAGAATGGATGAAGTTCGCTGAGACCAAAGTAAATCATTAAGGAGATGTCCTCAACAAAGCTACTCATGGTGCAACAACCATCCAAGCAAAATGCATGAGTTTTTGAAGTCCGAACTTGAACTTCAAAAACTGAGGGACTATTGTTGGACAGTAAATTCACAAAGAATGGATTCACGTTACGTATTGAAACTCTTCAGCTTGTGCGTCAAACCATGAAAGAATTACTTCACTTGTAAGTCTATTAAGGATTGCTTCAGGGTTAAGATTCAAGGTGCATTATCATCATGTCACATGTCAATCCTCATTTGAAGCTCTTCACTGTTAAGGCTGCAAGTTGTCCTCCAAGCTACGTGTCAAATCGTACGTGGATTACTTCACCTATAGGCTAACTGATGTAGTGCCCATGTCAAGCTGCATGTGGATTACTTCGCACCAAAGATCACCCTCGAGACACTATAAATAGGGGGTTCCCACCCCGAATCAAGGATTCAGACTTTTATTTTCAAGAGTTATAGAGTCTCTCTCTTTAGAATCAAATATCTTTTGTTGTAAACACATCAATAGTGGACGTAGGAATTGCACTTTGCATCCGAACCACTTTAAAAATTGCTTTTGTCTACTCTTTAATTTACTGCTTCATACTTCATTTAATTTACATATTTCTTCCATTAACCTACGGGTTCAGTATCATATTTTCTCGGTCTCCCATAGACCCTTTGTGCAAACTTCTTTGAAGGCTTGTGTACATTTCTTTGGTGTGAAAATACGCATCATCATAGGTGGATTATTTAGCATGTTAAACACAAGGTGGATTATTTCTCAATAGGACTTTTTAGTTATCCTGGAAGAATAATATGGTTTATTGGAAAACTAGAAAAATCAGAAAAGAAACTTTGTATGTGCACGGAGCCACTCTCTGTCATGTCAAAGATTAGTTTAATGTAGTATAGTTATGATTTTTTGAAAAGATATGAGTTCAATTATTATCATCCACTTATCTCATTGACTTGCAGAGTGTCACTGGGAGAAGGCCTTGAGGGTATCAGGGGTTCGTTCGACTACTAAAATATGTGGGCTGGCATGAAAACATTGTACTGAATAGATTTATGGCCTAATTTGTTCCTTCACGGTAAGAAAAAAATTTAAAAGAAGTGGAAAGCAACTATGTTTTCAAATGTTGGTTTGAGTGTGTAAAACAATTGCATCTCTATTTATTCGTGTATAGGACAGGACAGGAAAGTATTTTAATTTTCAGAAGCTCAACTATGAATGCTCTTACTTTCTTTATAATGGATTTGAACAGTCTCTAACCTATATATGTGCTAGTAATAAGGGAGTCATCATAATTTAAAATGGGCTTTTAGAATTAGTTTTAAAACTATGGAGGTTTTCTATAAATTTTCAAATCTCAAGGGAGGTTATGTAATTAACCAAGAACAAATTGCAAATACCATCTTTAAGATGTGAAGTGTTACTAAACTTTGCTTACTTAAGGAGGTTTTTAAAATGCTGTTCGTTTAAGAATTGCAGTAACGGTTCTTGGAAAAAAGAAAGTGAAGGATCGTTGTGCAAATCTCATATATATATATATATATGTGGGTTTTCTTTAAAACTTCGGATTAAAATTTTAAAATGAGGTAGCCTCGATCATGAAACTACTTGAAGATAACTTCAAAAATAAGATCGTTTTATTATAATATATAAGAAGGGAAGTGACTTTTACTATTTATGTCCTTTAAATTTAATTAGGTTTATTTTCATTAATTTCAAACTTAATTAGATTTTTTGTTTTACACCATTTTTTTCAATCTCAAACTTATTTAGGTTTTTTCTCTACATTTTTTTCCCTACTCATAATTTCAACTTATTTCCTCTTTTTAGATTAAGATCTATCCTTAGTTTTAGTTCAAACAAACAAATATTTAAAATAAAACAAAAAAGGTTTCAATAATTATGAAAAATGGGGATTAGATATTGAAAATTTAGGGCTTAGGTTTATGTAAGATTAAATGTTACAAATTTAAACAAAAATATAAAATATACAAAAACTATAATACTATTTCTAATCATTTAAATTAAAGCTAAATTGGTCAAAACAAAAATTATATTTAAAAGTCAAGGATACTGATCATACCTTAAAAGTCACTTCGATTTTCTAATCTCTAAGCAATGTTATAAAGTAATTTTTATTTTAATTATACATAATATTTCTTTTCCTTTTTTCATTTGTTTAGTTTTTGGAGAATGAAGGACAATTCAACTCAAATAAATTTAGAACTCATCAAAAATAGGGATAGGCACGGGCTGAGGACCCCTCTCTCCGACCCCGGCCTGAAAGCTCAAAGAGATTCCCCGGTCTCGACCCATAGCCCGAACAGAGAATTTGGAGAATCCAGGAATTAGGCTCGATCCCCCAAACGGAAAATTCAGGGAATCCTCGAAATCCCTGTTTGGGGTTTTGCATTATAATTTTTTTAAAAAAATTAGTGATTAAAAAAATTATAATGAATCAAAACATAAAAATATAATTATGATACATTATACGTATATGTAAATATATTATATATTAATGGTATAATATTATATATTATTATATATTAAGTAACAAGTATTAACATATAAATATATGATATTATGATTACGATAATAACATATTATATGTAATGTATAATATATAATATATTATAATAAATTCTAAATAAATAGCTACCATAATATAACAAGGGCAATTAGGTAATAGAATTGAAATAATGATTCAATGAGAAACAAAAAAAAAAAAAATTATAATAATTTATTGATTTATTATAATTAATCAAAATATCAAATGATACATTATATATATATATATATCAAATGATATATTATACATATAGAACATATTTATTATGTATTACAAGTATTTATAATAATTTATTATATTTAATTTAGTTTTATTTATCACCTATTTGTATATGGTTTCATAAAATACTCACACAATTATAATTTGTTCTTTTATAACTTATGGCTTCACTGATTGATTTTTAACTATTAAAATTAATATAAGATTAAATGGTTAAAAATAAACCTTACTCTCTCTCTCTCTCTCTCTCTCTCTCTCTCTCTCTCTCTCTCTCTCTCTATATATATATATATATTGTACAGACCGAGTTGAGGAATTCAGGGCAGGGACAGGTCGGGCCAAGACCAATCGTCTCCCCGAATTTGGGGACCGATTTTTAGCCTGGGCTCAACCCAAACCTCGAATAATTCGAGGAAACTTTGCCCCATTCGGGGCGGGTCGGGACAGGTATTATGTCCATCCCTAATCAAAAGGCTAGCTTGATCTAACCTCATTTAGACATGACTACCAAGAAAGGAATTTGATTGTTGACCTGTTAGCGAAACCTTGGTCATGACCCTTTTTTAGGACTCCCATATTTTTTACTTTCCTCCTTCTTCTTTTGCTTATGATGTAAAGATTTTTCTCTTCGAGTGGAACCTAGAGTTGTGTCTTCTTAAACTCTTATTTGTTCCAAGGTTTTAAAACCCGACCCTGAGTGAAACCCAACAAAGTGGTTGGGTCTTGGGTTGACCGGTTGAATTGGTTTAATCGATGAGTCAAACTAGTGATGTCAGCATGTAAAAAGTTTGAAATTTAGTAAAAACACCACTAAAAGTTCCATAAGTCCCTACAGGTTTGAAATCTTGCAAAAACACTACAAATTACACTACCGACATTGACAACCCAGGCTAAATAGGGCATGTTTATGGCTTCGAAAACACACCCCATCACCACGAAAGCTTTCTCCTTAGCCTTCTAACCAAAACCCATCTCACCTCACCTCCATTCGCCTTGCCAATCGTTATTGTTGTCGATTTATTTTTGGGATTTTCGATTGTTTCACTCACTGAAAATCAACTCCTTCACCAACTTTCCTAGGGGTGAGCAAGTCCAAGTACCTGCCTAAATCCCATGGAACTAGAACCGGTTGGTTCTTGGGATTTGGAACCAGAACTAGAGTTGGCCAGTTCTGTTTCCTACAAGCCTGTAACCGAAACCCAAAACATAGTTTTTGGTTCTGGGTACCTAAGAAAATCATGATTACCCCTACTATTCACAAAAATGACAAATACACCCTCTAAAAATCACAAATAAACCCCCAAAAGTTCACAAAAACTACAATTTAGTCTCGATTTCGATTCCCAGTTCCAATTATGGTTCCGATTCCTGTAGTGGTGGAATCAGAACTAGAATTGGAACAACACAGTATTGGTTTCGATTTTTTAAAACCGGAACCCTAGGTACTTGTCGGTTCCGGTTTCGGTTCCGATTCTGCTTGGTTCTTTTGCACACCTCTAACTTTTCCACTCACCGGCCATTCCTCTTCAAAAGCCCCAATATACTAGCCACTAATTATTCACCGATTGTCGTCCTAATTTTTAAGGTTTGAGATGAATAGTAAAATTGATAACTTGGCTCGATGAAGGTCCCGGGTCCAGGTTGAACCGGTTTAATCAGTTGGGTTTTAAAACCATGCTTTGTTCTGTCTGTTGTAGGCTTATGCTCCTTGTTTCACCCAAAAAGGGAAATTTTCATTACCCAAATCCACCCTTGGAGAGACCGAACATTTTCATCCATGAGGTTTGAGTAAAGTGGAACACTTAAAAGATTCGAAAAATCACAAATCCAACCAATTTTTTTTTTTTTTCACTTAAAAGACTGTAATACCATAAATTATCACTTCTTAGTTTCTTGTTTGAACTTGCTATATAGTGTTTTTATTAAATTAGAAAATGTCGTGTTTGATTTGTGTGTTTGAAGATGATAATAGAATATTTTATCTAGTTATTTGTAAAATATTAAAAAATATTTACTTTTTTTTTTTTTACAAATTCTTAAATAAATCCATTATCAATTTTAAATTTAACTAAATAATGTTAAAATCTAGTGAATTATTACATAACTCAAACCTCAGGGGTGAAAATGTTTTAATCTCCCTATTTTTCTAATAACATTAGAATTAATTTATAATGAAACAAATTAACAGATCTCCCCCGAAGTTTAAACATTTTGTAGGTGCCTAGAAAAGATTATTAGGTTAATACAAACACCCAACTCTTTTAACTTCCATTAGGGCTTCGTTAGGGTTATTTCTTTATACCCCTCCAACATACAAAACTAACAACTTATCCCCCCTTAATTAGTCACTTACACTTTTTATCGACAACGTCAAGTTATAATTTTTATTTTTAAAAAGAAAAGGTCATGGTTCAGTTGATCCAATAATGGGTGTTTCCACAATAAGAGATCATCGGACACCTTTGAAATAATGTAATTCATTTTAAAAATAGTATTAAATCTTAAATATGTATTATTTTTAAAATATAAGGTCTTTTTTTTCCTTTCTCTTAATTAATTTTAACACCAAAAATTTATAGTAAGGGCTAATTATAGGGGGTAACTTGTCATTTTCTTATTTTAAAGGGGTGCAGAGAGCCTTATCTGAAGTTAGAAAAATGTTGCTCGTGTTTTTGTATGCGCATGTGAAATGTGAAACCTTAGTGGAGGTCTGTGTCATTTACCTCCTTACAACTTGAGTTATTTGTCTACAGTATAAACTAGGGCAAAAGCTCTGGAATTCTTTCGACCGGGAACCAAATTCAAGACCCGCGAAAATTAAAAACAAAAATCAAATTAATCTACTAATACTTCTCTTTTAGGGTTAGGGTTTTGTCAAAACCACCACCCAGTCCAACGCTTTCTCTGCTAGGGTTCTGCTGTCTTCTTCGACCCGGTACTTTCTCTTTCTTCGCTTACATTTGTATTTTTTATCTTCTTTTGATGAATGTAATATAAATAAATATCGTTTTTTGAAATGTTTTACTCATTTTTGTTTGTTTAATTCAAATTGACTGGAGTAGAGATGATTTATGAGTTTAGTTTGTGTGATTTCGCTGTGTAATGGGCTCTAGTTTCCTAGATAGATCTGGGTTTCTGTTGTTCTTCACTTTCGAAATTTGGAGCCAAAATGATTTAAAATGTTGAGGTTAGTTATTGTTAGTAGTGGTTTTGCTTCAGCATATCGAAACAAGGAACAAATTGGAATGAAATTTGTGTTGGTTATTGAAGCAATTACAAGAAGTTCTAGTCACTTTTTGTTGGAGGAATTACCTTCTTGGTAGGTGCTGAAATTACTAGTTTTGTTCATAAAAGCTAGCCAATGGGACCTTTGTCAATTACTTGTGTTGGATGTGTATATGCTCCACCTTGGATTTAGGTTTTTTCAGGAGTTAACAATGTGTGTATTATGGTCTTGTGCAATATAGGAAATGGGTATGAATCGAGATGGATATTGAAAAGTAACTGAGTAAATGCTACTTTAGGTGCTTTTTTGTGAGGATTTGTAAAGTACATATTTTCTTACTAGAGCTAAGTAATGGGGCATTTTGATTTTGATTGGTCAACTTGTTTATTCTTGGCCTGGGTTGTAGCATGTATTATAATGACTGAACTATAATTTGTCTTAGTGTGGTGTTGTATAATAAAGGAAATGATCATGATCAAGATGTCTTTGAAAAAGTATCAAATGGGTATGGCTGGTAAAGTAAGATAAGAGTTTAGTTTTCAAGTTAATGAGAGTTTCCTTAAGATTGTGCCCTGATATTTGATGCTACATTATTGTTTCAAATCGGCTAAATTAGCTTTGTGGACGTACTACATATTAACTTTAATGATTATTAAATTGATGCTAATACATATAGACCGGATTCAGAAATTGTGTATTTGTAACAAATTTCAATTTCAATAATGTGTTATGGTATTCCCAGCATATGCTTTCATGTTCATGAGTGATGTACTTTTTTCCTTTTACTTTTTGGAATTGCTGAGAGGGAAGAATTTATGCTTTATGTTATATTGGAATGCAGGCCTGAATTCATGCAACTTTGATAGGAATAGAAGATTCTACGTACAGTTTAGAATTGCTGTAAAAAATTATATTGCAAATTCAGATTTGTGTTTAGCGGATATAATATGGAACTGAATTTTTTTTCTTTTGGTAGGGAAAAGCTTGTACAAATAGCCTAACTTTTATGCTGCCATCTTTCAACCTGTGATTTTGATTGCATATAAATTATAGATTAGGAACTGGAGGCTTTTTGTCATTTTACTTTGCTGTTCCCTTGTATTTTTTTTACTGCATTGAAATCACTTATTTATAATTCCACCTCAGGCAGATTATTTTCTCATGTCTCATATCTTGTTTTGTTTTTTTCTTGTGTCAAACGCATTTTCCAATATATAGTTAAACAATTAATTGGCCATTGTTTTTGGGCAACTTTCATATCCATTATCTTAATTATCGAGGGATTCATTGGTTCATTGTTTTTTCACCTGTTGAGCATCATCATCCTCTTGATTATCATTCGGAATCTGATTTGTCTCTCTTTGAATATTTTTACTTTATTTTGATCCCTAATCTGAGAATCATTCACATTGCAACTCCTTGGAGCCAAATCTTATGGCACAAATTCTATCAAAAATCTTACTCTGCAACTCCATTTGGCCTCTCATTTTGTTTCCACCTTTCCATATATGTATTCTTTCTCCTTTGAATGCTTCTGGCTTCTGTGATTTCTTCACAGTTGCCTTGCAAGCTTGCTTTATTAGATACATAATATGCCAAGGACAAGGGCAAGCACTGCAGAAGATCATAATCCAGATGGACCTGAAAATCTTACTGAGTCTGAAAAGCATATAGAACCTGAAGAGCAAGTAGACCTTGATGGAGATAATGATCCTGAGGAGGTAGTGGAGGAAGAGGTTGAATATGAAGAGGTGGAGGAGGAGGTGGAGGAGGAAGTGGAGGTAGAAGAAGAGGTGGAAGAGGAGGTGGAAGAAGAGGAAGAAAATGAGGAGGTTGATGATGGAGCTAGAGAGGAGATGGATGTTGCAGAGGCAGACAATGAAGACGAGAAAAAGAAGCAGGCTGAGCTTCTTTCACTTCCTCCGCATGGATCTGAGGTCTATCTTGGTGGCATTCCTTATGATGCTTCTGAGGAGGAATTGAGGGGCTTTTGTGAATCTATAGGAGAAGTCACAGAGGTAAGATCAATGGATGATTTCAAAATCTGTCTGTTGTGCTCTATGTTTAGGTTGATCAATGTCATATTCTTTTTACAGGTTCGGATAATGAGGGGTAAAGATTCAGGTGAGGCGAAGGGATATGCTTTTGTGACCTTCAGAACTAAAGAGTTGGCTTCTAAGGCCATTGAGGAGCTAAATACTTCTGAATTTAAGGTAATATAAGCAGACTGCTAGTTATGCCTTTTCACTGTCATGTTCATTTTTGCCATGGCTTTTCAGTATGGGACTATTATGCTACTGTGGTCTTACATATACATAGTCTTGTATACAAAATGATATGGCATAACTCTTGTATTGCCTTGTCATTCAACCTTGTATATTGTGCATGTATTAAGTTGACTTTTTATATTATTTCATTCATTTATTTTGTGTCATGTCTCTTTTTATGCAAGACTTTGTATAGAAACTTTGTAGGTATAGCATCATTGATACCTTTCTTGTTCATATATATACTTTCAATCAATTTAAGGAAATATTTTCTGGAAATTTGCCAGGTCTTGTGGTACTGACTTTCCTGTTAACAACCTGTTTCTTCTTTTGCAGGGGAAAAAGATAAAGTGCTCAACAGCTCAAGCGAAGCATAAATTGTTCATTGGTAATGTTCCCAGAAATTGGGGTGAGGAAGATATGAGGAAGGTTGTAACAAAGATTGGGCCAGGAGTCATTTCTATTGAGTTGTTGAAGGCATGTTTGTCTTAATCTTTTATATTTTGTCTGTGCTAATGTTTTAATGTAGTTTATTACCATTGTGTGTTATGCTGTTGTTTATTTATAAGCTTTTGCTCTAACTCTGTTCATAGTAATGGTTTGTAATTTATGTCATGTATGTGCTATTGATTGAAGTTCTTTTACTTTACAGGACCCGCAGAATTCCAGTCGGAATCGTGGATTTGCTTTTATTGAGTATTATAATCATGCATGTGCAGAATACTCAAGACAGAAAATGTCAAACCCAAAATTTAAGCTTGATGATAATGCTCCAACTGTGAGCTGGGCTGACCCTAGAAATGCAGATTCCTCTGCTGCTTCTCAGGTCTTCAAATTCTTCTATCTTGGACCTCTTTTTTGGCAGTGGAATAATAAAACTAGTGGCTATACATCATTTGATCATTACTAGATTTTCTCATGATCCTCCCATTTTTTTGTGTTGTTGCAACATTGGAAACCTTGAATTTATGTAAAACACCCATATTTTGCGCTTATAATTCCTTCATTTCTCCTTTGTTTTTCTCTTTCTCCATATGTTGGTCATTGCATTATTTGATTTTATCACTCGCTATGTAGTATTCCTATTACAAGAGTAATGGCAATTACTTGCATGTTTAAAAAAGAAAGGGTTATATAGTATAACTCTTAGAATTAAGATTTTAAATAATTTTACGTCCAATTATAGATGAGTTTGATGATTTACCTATAGATTTTGTTGTATATGAATCTTGATCTTGTAACCCTTCTCCACATGACAACTCTTGTATGTGAAGCATTTTGGCTATCATTTGCTTGCTTTAGTGTGCCTTGAAAGGTTTATCAAATCATTGCTTCGTACATTTGATACAGGTTAAGGCATTGTATGTAAAGAATTTGCCAAAAGATATAACACAGGATTGCCTAAAAGAGCTGTTTGAACGTCATGGAAAGATTACAAAAGTGGTTCTTCCACCAGCGAAAGCTGGTCAGGAAAAGAGTAGATATGGTTTTGTGCACTTTGCTGAAAGGTCAAGTGCCATGAAGGCATTGAAAAATACTGAGAAATATGAAATTGATGGTGAGTTTTACTTTTGCACAATTTCGTATGCTATATTTTCTTGCCATCGCTCTTGATGTTTTTGGCTGGATTAATTTTAAAAGGTCAAGTTTTGGAGTGTTCTCTTGCAAAGCCACAAGCAGATCAGAAGACTTCTGGAGGACCAAATTTGCAGAAGCCAGCTTTACATCCAAGCTACCCACCTAACCTGGGTTTTGGTTTGGTTGGGGGTGCCTATAATGCTGTGGGTGCAGGATATTCTCCTGCAGGCTTTGCACCGGTAAAGTTAAATCTTTCCCTTCTCTTGTCTGCTTCAAATACACCCATACACGCGCTCAATTAAGTAGTCTAAGCTTTTCATACTTTGGGTTCTTTTGAATTAGTAGAGCGATTCTAAGAGTTTTAAGTGCATTTGATTTCATAGCAAGACAAAGGATATAAGGTCTTCACTTTTTATTGGTTTTAGCTGATTTATAGTAGAAGTGGGTTTATATCTGTTAATACCAGCAAAATCCTGTCACAGGCTGTTGGTTTAGGTTCTTAATTAATGAACCCAATGAACCTGCTTTGTGTTTTATGTTATCATGACTTTGCATATGTTTTTTTCTCTGCTAAAGGGAAAAAAAAAACACAACTGTGAAACTTGGTGTATTTATTTGTTGCTATAGTTCATCATGTTAGTCTTCTTAAAAGAAATGAAAATTGCAATTAATGAAATTAATATATTTGCAAAAAATTCTGATTTGGATTTGTCATAATTAACTTATGATGAAAATACTATATACCTGGGATTTCTGCTATCTTCTGCTTGTAGCATTCTTGTTTGGGTTCATGTGCTGATGTAGTTTCCATAATCTTGCAGCCATTGATATATGGTAGGGGAGTAACTCCTGCTGGCATGGCAATGTTGCCAATGCTATTGCCTGATGGACGGATTGGATATGTTTTGTAAGATCTGCCGACTTTTCCTTGTTTTTTGTCACATGGCCTTGTTTTTTGCTGGGTCATATATAAGAGTTAAATGCTTGTCTCCTCATCCTTTGTAACTTGGCTGATAGTCTTGATCTTTCATTACTACTCATCCAAACTTTGTCTCTCATCTCTCACTGACTTTAGCTGCAGTTTTTGAAATAGTTATATTTATTGCTTTTCTTTATTTTCATCCTCAAGATCATATCTAGCATGATAATGTCATTTTCCATCACCCTTTCATATTGTAGTTAAATTTTTAACTTGTGAGTTACATGCCTAGGTCATGATGCAACCTCATATTACCCTAGCGAATACAACCATGTCAAGTTAACATTTCTGCTTGTAAATTTTTTATAAACTCAGCACTTTCTTAAACTTGTAGCTTGCAAATTTAATTACTTTTTTCCTTGAGCTTGGAGTTTTTAGCTTTGTACAGTTCTTGGGCATGTTTGACACGGCTAAGTTGTAACTTCATGTATTTTTTAATGTAGGCAACAGCCTGGAATGCAACAACACACTCCTCCACCACAGCCCAGAAGTGGCAGGGGTGGGGCTGGCAGTAGCTCCAGTGGTGGAAGACGCAGCCATGACAGTGGCCGTGGACGCAGCCGGTATAACCCCTATTAGTTTTAAATGCATTACCATTTCATGCAGCTAGAAACAGAGGATATGAATGAAACACTCCTGCAATCAACTTTCATTTTGGAATTGGGCTTATCAGTCTATACTTTCAGTACGGGGAGCTGCTGAGTTTATAATTAAATGCATTTTGATTTTGAGCAGTTCAGTTCAAAGTTAAACCCAATCGCTCCTTTGGTTGTTAATGTTAATTAAATTTATTGATTTTGTTATCTAAAACAGATTGTGTCTCCTATTAGTTTCAATGCTTTAGATTTTTTCTAATCGGAAAGATCTACTGCTCATCGAATTATCTTGCTACATATCAAATTCATTCCCATATTATTTTTTCATCTTATTTAATCCTTTTATCACCAAAGCTACACCCTTTTTAGAGCAATGGACATCAGACTGGTCATTTAATGATTAAGGTTTGTCATCCATTTGGTACACTTTATGCAATGGTTGTAACCGAGAAGATTCAACAGACTAATTTTTTCAGTATTCCATGCAATTGCAAGAACCATACCATCATTAATACATTAAAGGTAAAATCAAAATATTTTATCAGTACAATCTCAAGTGCAAACTCAATTCAACAGGGAAAGACAAAGATGGAAGAAAATCTATGTGATATATCAAATCTTACATCGAAAGGGAAGGTAAAATATTCAATGTCACGGTATCATTTAGAGCTCTACTGGGTCTAATTCATTATATCAACTGTTATATAAAAATAGAAAGCAAGTAAAAACCCATTAACAAAATCTTTAGAACTGAACAGCACAAGGCAATCTGAACTCAATATAGTTCAAAATAACTTAATCAAAGGGATTTGCACCGTCAAGAATTGGTGCATACTGACTTAGCATCAACAAAACTAAATAGAAATTTATATTAAGAAAATTCAACAATACATGAATTTTTCCAGGAGCATCTACTGGTACAAAGTGCACATTGACTTCAGTTCAATGCTGTTACTTTGCAGAGTCATAAGGTAGCAACTACTTATACATAGAGCATCAATAGCATTCTAATACAGTTAAAATTAACTTATAACAAGAGATAAGAGATAAATGAGCTTGCCATAAAATCTTAACTGGAGAATATTCACTTGTTTCTTTGGTTTTCTTCAAATGAAAGGCAAGATGTCCTGCCCCTGAGGTGGTTCGATCCAAATGTTCTCAAAGGCATCTTGCTCTCCCCAGTCATAGCACTGCTTACGAGGATAGTATCGACAATCATTGAGAGAGTATGATATGCAACGCTTTCCAAAGAAACGAACTTTTGAGAAGTACACACTGTCCCGCATTATTCCCGGAAGGTCAGCTCTTGAATGAGATGACAAGAAACTTGCAAAAAGTGTCACACCATCAAGGGTTTTCATCTCTTCCCAGACCATGTTTAACAGGTCTAGCCTATATACAATGGGATTTTCACTACAACATGTATAAATAACTAAAATGTCTCCTTTGCTTTCAGCCATAAATTTCCCCTTCCACCAATTTTTGGCGAAAAAGTTTTCAGGACACTTGGGTGGGGGCACAACAAGAACACCCCAATCACGCTTCAATGGATCATAAACCCCTAACCAACCAGTGAGACTTAAACAATAAAATAGTCCATTGCAGAAAACAAGCTTATTCCAAATACTACTAACAAAAGGAAGCCGATTTTGATAATTATTAGTAACCCATTCTGTTGCCCCTGGATGACAAGTGCTGATAGCAACAACTGTTGGACTGATGTGCTTCACCGTGAAAACTACACAATCGGCAGATGTTGGGGCACACGAGAAGGCAACAATCTGATATGTCAACTCAAATCTTGGCAGTTTGATCATATCCCTAGTGAAGGGATTGAAGAAGAACACACGATGAGTTCTCATTTTGTATAGCAATAACCAACTATCTTTAGTGTAACAAACCCTAGATCCATACAGCTCTGGTAACTCAAAGGAGTAGGTCTTCCTCCGAGAAGGATCATAGAACTCATACAAGTTGCCATATCTAGGGAAGTACATGAGCCATGGTGATTGGTTTACCACCCGAACAGAAACGGCTGGGCCATGCCAATTTTTGCATACAACTGAGGCACGAACGTTAGCCTCTAATGTTAGACGGGACATTATCAGTTCCAAAAGTTCAGGAGGAAGGTCGGACCAGTTTCGTAGTTCCAGGTTCTCTTTCTTCTCATCTGAAACCATTCTTTCACCATCTGATCCTGTTTCAGCTAAGCTACAAAGTCCAACAGAACCTCATTAATGACTTAAAAGTTGGTATCAGCTAAAATATTCTAAAAAGGAGATATTTAAAACAGACCTTGATCTCAAAGAGATTATAACCATACTTAAGAACGAAAAATCAAATACTCCAAAAAGGAAGCAATATTTTATTGAAATTTCACATCAATCTCAGTAATCTCAATTCCAAACTCATTCAATGCAGTATGACTTATCAGCTACCTATGGGCATCACTAAAAACATCCAATTCCTAGAAACAAACAGTTCATGTCTGACAAACTTAAAGGGAAATCACTATAGGCACACCCCAATATTCACATAAATTATTGAAAATTAAGGGGCAGTGACCATTATGACAGCTAGCATCAGAAAAAATATTTACAGTATAGCAACATATTGTGACAATAGTTACTGCAGTACCCTTGATTTTTGAACAAGTGATTTATGAACCTGCAACATACTTTATCCACCAGAAATAAACTATGTGACTCAGAACGGAACTCCGATGCACAAAGATGAACCTTTGAAAATTCCAACCGATCAAATTGCAGTCACGACCGCGACAATGCTCCAAAGCCTCCAAAAATTTATTCCAGTCAACATTGAAACAATATCTCTCTCCAATTATATTCAAACAATCACAACTCACAACTCACAACAGCCACAATAACACTATGATCAAAACATGACCACATTCAAAAACCCACATGAAAAAAACTATCAAATAGTTCAATGTCACTTCGATTCATAAACTTCAAATTCATCAATACACATTAGCCCTAAAAACCCCAGATTGCCCAACTCCCTAAACCCCTAAAATCATTTCCAACATGAGCGCAAACTGAAAACCCAATTCAAAACCACATTTAAAACACTGAAAATTGAGTTTAATTTTCACTAATTGAATTTCAATGCCAACAATTAATTCCATTATTTAATTTCTGTAACCCTAGAATAATATGTGAAAAAACAACATTTAGCAAATAAATTAAGTAAAGCTAAAAAAAATTCACTTGAAAGTAACAAAACGACTTACAGTTTCAGTTTCCTTCTCTTTTCCCAGCTAGTGGCACCACAAGGAAGCAAAATTTTCAGTTAAAATAAAAGAGAAGTGAAGGAGAAAGGAAAGAAAGAGAGAGCGACAGTTATATGTTTAAGTGATTGTGAGAACACAACACGTGTAAAGTTAACTGAAATCAGCTACGAAAGCTCATGCTACATCAGCAACAAGCTGTTCATTTGGCCTATTTTGTGATTTCTATGATATGGCGGATCCTGTTGGTTACTTTAGTGGGAGAAATGGACTCAGCTCAACGAACTATAAATGAAAAATTTATTATTGTAAAAAGTATTTTGCTTTAGGGTAACATCAAAAACAAAAAATTATTTCATTTTTTTTTTGTAGGTATTTAAGATATTCAGGTCACATGAGTTACTTTAAATATAACTAACTTTAGTAGTTAAAGGATTTATCATCTTCAAAGATATTTTATTTCGTTTTTACATTAGTATAACTCATCTATTTGTTCAAAAAGTTTAAAAATATTTATATAAATTTTTTTTTTTACAATTTTGTAAGAGAATATTTTCAAAAGAGTTTTTGATATTTAATGGGTTTTTACACACAAACGTTTTGAAGGAATGGATGAGAGCGATCTCATAAAAAAATTATATAAATAACATATTTGTATATAGACTGATTTTTATTATTAGATTTAATCAAATTTTACGGGTGATGCCATGCCAATATTTATTAATAATCAAACTATCAATTTTGATTAAGGGAATTTCTTTTTGCTTTTCTTTCTTGGTTTTGTGACTAAATGAAAACATTTACTCCTTTCCAACTTTATCTTTTTTTTTTTTGTGAAAGCTTTAATCCTACCAAGGTTGAGGGAGAGGCATTTCCAACCTTTAAATAACAAAGAAATGTACCGACTCAATAATTAAGAGATTGAAACACCAAAGATAAAATCTCTAATTGAAATAACTAAATCAAATCATTCTTCCATTAATAGGAAATATCTACATTCATATTGCAACAACAAACGTGTCCAATCAAGTGATCAAAACAACACCACACATGATGAAATGAGGGAGGCCTAAAACCCAATTTAGAACCCCCAAAAAATAGGACCTTTGTTCTACACATATCTCACCTACAAAGCTCAAAATCAATCCAGAAAGTTAATAAAATCAACAGCAAATAGGGCATTGTAAAAGCCCATTTTCATTACACTCACCACATCTCATCATTTTCTTCTGCTCTTCATCCATTATTTTACAGCTTCCATTACACTCCATACACATCACAAATCTCACTCCACCACATCCTTCACATCCGCCCATAGCCTTCGGTATTCCCTCAAACAAAATCCCCAATTTCCCTTCCTCCTCCATCTTCACTACCTCATCAACACCTCCAACCAGCCTTCCTTTCACAAACACAAGTGGAACTTTCACTTCTTTTGTCTCCATTAACGTTCTTAACTCCTCCTTAAACCCTGAATCCATCGATATGTCGCGCTCGAACATCTGTATTTGATGTGATTCAATTATGGACCTCACGTTGTTACACTCCTCAAATGTCTTTCTTATTCCTCTCAATGTGGTGGTGTAAATCACGACAGCATTTTCACCACCCGGAGGACACTTCTTTTTGAAAGATTCAAGGATAGAATCCGAAGAAATCTTCGCCTTTCGAGTAGTAAATGTTGGTAAAATGACCCTTTTGACATGCTCTTTCTCTTCTGATAATTCTCTCTCGTAACTTTCAACAAGCTCCGGATCAAACAGAGGACTATAACTCTCTTTTTTCCCGGGCAAACTCAAATTCAACACTTTCTTGCACGAACTCTCTTGAAAATTATTCACTTTCAAGATCGATCTCGGGCTTAATTCTGATTTAATTGGACCAGTCACCACTCCATTAACACGCACCTTATTCTCTTTACCTCCAAATTTCTTCACCTTCCTCGGCGAACCGAACTGATTGAAGAACTTCAATGGACTTTTCCCTTCAACATCCGCAAACCCGCGAAGTAAAGTACGTGACTTTGGGCTCTTTTTGGGTTGATTCGAAACGGGCATTTCTTCTTCCAGTCCCTCCATGAGCTCCCAAGCGTTGATAACTTCTGGCTCTCCGCGAGGCGGCGACCTCTGCACGTTCTTCTTCTTCGTCTCCACAGCAATCTCTTTAATGGGTTCTTGTTCTGGTTGTTGTTTTTGTTCCTTATCGAGATTCAGAACGCCGTAGGTGCTGGAAGTTAGAGAGACGACATGGTTGACGTACTCGCCGCCGTTGTTGAGGATGATGTCCCGGCGGAGTTCTTTCTTGACGAGTTTAGAAGAAACACAACCCATTGGTTTGGTGGGGGTTGGTCTATGTGTTACGTTCTCTTCTTACGTTGTTGGTGGTGTTGTTAAAGGAGAAGAAGAAAATTGGAAGCAAATACAAGACAACAACAAGAGGGAGTTATGTTTTTTTTTTTTAATTTTTTTGTTTATTTGAATCTTAACGGTTATCATGTCTGCAACGGGCCCCAACGGTCAAAATTTCGAATGTGATGGGCAATTTTCTTGGAAACCCTCATTATTTTTATGTTTTTGCCTCATAACTTTTTGTATTTCTTTTGATACTCCAGATTTATTTTTGTTTGCGAAATGCGCACAACTTGTTTATTTTACCAAAATGTGTTATTTATGAGAATTATATTCAAACAATCACAACTCACAACTCACAACAGCCACAATAACACTATGATCAAACATGACCACATTCAAAAACCCACATGAAAAAAACTATCAAATAGTTCAATGTCACTTCGATCATAAACTTCAAATTATCAAACACATTAGCCCTAAAAACCCCAGATTGCCCAACTCCCTAACCCTAAAACATTTCCAAACATGAGCGCAAACTGAAACCCAATTCAAAACCACATTAAAACACTGATAATTGAGTTTAATTTTCACTAATGAATTTCAATGCCAACAATTAATTCCATTATCTAATTTCTGTAACCCTAGAATCAATATGTGAAATACACAACATTTAGCAAATAAAATTAAGTAAGCTAAAAAAATTCACTTGAAAGTAAAAACGACTTACAGTTTCAGTTTCCTCTTCTTTTTCCCAGCCATAGTGGCACAAAGGAAGCAAAATTCTTCAGTTAAAATAAAAAGAGAAGTGAAGAGAAAGGAAAGAAGAGAGAGAGCGACAGTTATATGTTTAAGTGATAGTGGAACGCAACACGTGTAAAGTCTAACTGAAATCAGCTACGAAAGAGCTCATGCTACATCAGCAACAAGTGTTCTTTGGCCTATTCGTTGATTTCTATGTATGGCGGACTCCGTGGTTACATTTAGTGAAAGAAGGACTTAGCTCAACGACTATAAATGAAAAATTTATTATGTTAAAAGTATTTTGCTTTAGGGTAACACAAAAACAAAAAAATTATTTCATTTTTTTTTTTTTAGGTATTTAAGATATTCAAGTCCTATGAGTAGGCTATAAGGTCTATGGACTAAGACTTGATACAAGACACTTTGAGTATAACTAACCTTAATGGTTGAAGATTTGTCATCCGAAAAGATTTTATTTCGTTTTTGCACATGTTACATAGTATTAACTCATCTATTTGTTCAAAAAGTGTTAAAAATATTATATAATTTTTTTTTTTTTACATTTTGTAAGAGAATATTTTCAAAAGAGTTTTGATATTTTAATGAAGTTTTTACACACAAACGTTTTGAACAAAATGGATGAGTAAAACTAAGCGATCTCATAAAAAATTATATAAATAACATATTTTGTATTATAGACTGATTTTTATATATTAGATTTAATCAAATTTACAGAGTGATGCCATGCCAAGCTTAATATTTATTAATAATCAAAACTATCACTTTTGCACAGTTGAGAGTAACTAATATGGAATTTCCTTCTTTGCTTTTCTTCTTGGTTTTGTGATAAAATGAAAACATTTACTCCTTTCCAACTTTATCTTTTTTTTTTTTGTGAAAGCCTTGAATCCGGTCGGGGGCAGACATTTCCAACCTCTAAATAAAGAAGTACCACTCAATAATTAAAGAGATTGAAACACGCCTTTATCACCAAAGCTACACCCTTTTTAGAGCAATGGACATCAGACTGGTCATTTAATGATTAAGGTTTGTCATCCATTTGGTACACTTTATGCAATGGTTGTAACCGAGAAGATTCAACAGACTAATTTGTTCAGTATTCCATGCAATTGCAAGAACCATACCATCATTAATACATTAAAGGTAAAATCAAAATATTTTATCAGTACAATCTCAAGTGCAAACTCAATTCAACAGGGAAAGACAAAGATGGAAGAAAATCTATGTGATAAATCAAATCTTACATCGAAAGGGAAGATAAAATATTCAATGTCACGGTATCATTTAGAGCTCTACTGGGTCTAATTCATTATATCAACTGTTATATAAAAATAGAAAGCAAGTAAAACCCCATTAACAAAATCTTTAGAACTGAACAGCACAAGGCAATCTGTACTCAATATAGTTCAAAATAACTTAATCAAAGGGATTTGCACCGTCAAGAATTGGTGCATACTGACTTAGCATCAACAAAACTAAATAGAAATTTATATTAAGAAAATTCAACAATACATGAATTTTTCCAGGAGCATCTACTGGTACAAAGTGCACATTGACTTCAGTTCAATGCTGTTACTTTGCAGAGTCATAAGGTAGCAACTACTTATACATAGAGCATCAATAGCATTCTAATACAGTTAAAATTAACTTATAACAAGAGATAAGAGATAAATGAGCTTGCCATAAAATCTTAACTGGAGAATATTCACTTGTTTCTTTGGTTTTCTTCAAATGAAAGGCAAGATGTCCTGCCCCTGAGGTGGTTCGATCCAAATGTTCTCAAAGGCATCTTGCTCTCCCCAGTCATAGCACTGCTTACGAGGATAGTATCGACAATCATTGAGAGAGTATGATATGCAACGCTTTCCAAAGAAACGAACTTTTGAGAAGTACACACTGTCCCGCATTATTCCCGGAAGGTCAGCTCTTGAATGAGATGACAAGAAACTTGCAAAAAGTGTCACACCATCAAGGGTTTTCATCTCTTCCCAGACCATGTTTAACAGGTCTAGCCTATATACAATGGGATTTTCACTACAACATGTATAAATAACTAAAATGTCTCCTTTGCTTTCAGCCATAAATTTCCCCTTCCACCAATTTTTGGCGAAAAAGTTTTCAGGACACTTGGGTGGGGGCACAACAAGAACACCCCAATCACGCTTCAATGGATCATAAACCCCTAACCAACCAGTGAGACTTAAACAATAAAATAGTCCATTGCAGAAAACAAGCTTATTCCAAATACTACTAACAAAAGGAAGCCGATTTTGATAATTATTAGTAACCCATTCTGTTGCCCCTGGATGACAAGTGCTGATAGCAACAACTGTTGGACTGATGTGCTTCACCGTGAAAACTACACAATCGGCAGATGTTGGGGCACACGAGAAGGCAACAATCTGATATGTCAACTCAAATCTTGGCAGTTTGATCATATCCCTAGTGAAGGGATTGAAGAAGAACACACGATGAGTTCTCATTTTGTATAGCAATAACCAACTATCTTTAGTGTAACAAACCCTAGATCCATACAGCTCTGGTAACTCAAAGGAGTAGGTCTTCCTCCGAGAAGGATCATAGAACTCATACAAGTTGCCATATCTAGGGAAGTACATGAGCCATGGTGATTGGTTTACCACCCGAACAGAAACGGCTGGGCCATGCCAATTTTTGCATACAACTGAGGCACGAACGTTAGCCTCTAATGTTAGACGGGACATTATCAGTTCCAAAAGTTCAGGAGGAAGGTCGGACCAGTTTCGTAGTTCCAGGTTCTCTTTCTTCTCATCTGAAACCATTCTTTCACCATCTGATCCTGTTTCAGCTAAGCTACAAAGTCCAACAGAACCTCATTAATGACTTAAAAGTTGGTATCAGCTAAAATATTCTAAAAAGGAGATATTTAAAACAGACCTTGATCTCAAAGAGATTATAACCATACTTAAGAACGAAAAATCAAATACTCCAAAAAGGAAGCAATATTTTATTGAAATTTCACATCAATCTCAGTAATCTCAATTCCAAACTCATTCAATGCAGTATGACTTATCAGCTACCTATGGGCATCACTAAAAACATCCAATTCCTAGAAACAAACAGTTCATGTCTGACAAACTTAAAGGGAAATCACTATAGGCACACCCCAATATTCACATAAATTATTGAAAATTAAGGGGCAGTGACCATTATGACAGCTAGCATCAGAAAAAATATTTACAGTATAGCAACATATTGTGACAATAGTTACTGCAGTACCCTTGATTTTTGAACAAGTGATTTATGAACCTGCAACATACTTTATCCACCAGAAATAAACTATGTGACTCAGAACGGAACTCCGATGCACAAAGATGAACCTTTGAAAATTCCAACCGATCAAATTGCAGTCACGACCGCGACAATGCTCCAAAGCCTCCAAAAATTTATTCCAGTCAACATTTAAACAATATCTCTCTCCAATTGTATTCAAACAATCACAACTCACAACTCACAACAGCCACAATAACACTATGATCAAAACATGACCACATTCAAAAACCCACATGGAAAAAACTATCAAATAGTTCAATGTCACTTCGATTCATAAACTTCAAATTCATCAATACACATTAGCCCTAAAAACCCCAGATTGCCCAACTCCCTAAACCCCTAAAATCATTTCCAACATGAGCGCAAACTGAAACCCAATTCAAAACCACATTAAAACACTGATAATTGAGTTTAATTTTCACTAATTGAATTTCAATGCCAACAATTAATTCCATTATCTAATTTCTGTAACCCTAGAATCAATATGTGAAATACACAACATTTAGCAAATAAAATTAAGTAAAGCTAAAAGAAAATTCACTTGAAAGTAATAAAACGACTTACAGTTTCAGTTTCCTTCTCTTTTTCCCAGCCATAGTGCGCACCAATGGAAGCAAAATTCTTCAGTTAAAATAAAAAGAGAAGTGAAGAGAAAGGAAAGAAAAGAGAGCGACAGTTATATGTTTAAGTGATAGTGAGAACGCAACACGTGTAAAGTCTAACTGAAATCAGCTACGAAAGAGCTCATGCTACATCAGCAACAAGCTGTTCATTTGGCCTATTTTGTTGACTTTCTATGATATGGCGGACTCCTGTTGGTTACTTTAGTGGGAGAAATGGACTCAGCTCAACGACTATAAATGAAAAATTTATTATTGTAAAAAAGTATTTTGCTTTAGGGTAACATCAAAAACAAAAAAATTATTTCATTTTTTTTTTTTTCAGGTATTTAAGATATTCAAGTCCCTATTGAAGTAGGCCTATAAGGTCTATGGACTAAAGACTTGATACAAGACACTTTGAGTATAACTAACCTTAATGGTTGAAAGATTTGTCATCCGAAAAGATGTTTTATTTCGTTTTTGCACAATGTTACATTAGTATTAACTCATCTATTATGTTCAAAAAGTGTTAAAAATATTTATATAATTTTTTTTTTTTTTTACAATTTTGTAAGAGAATATTTTCAAAAGAGTTTTTGATATTTTAATGAAGTTTTTACACACAAACGTTTTGAACGGAATGGATGAGAGCGATCTCATAAAAAAATTATATAAATAACATATTTTGTATTATAGACTGATTTTTATATTATTAGATTTAATCAAATTTTACAGGGTGATGCCATGCCAATATTTATTAATAATCAAAACTATCACTTTTGATAATGGAATTTCCTTGTTTGCTTTTCTTTCTTGGTTTTGTGACTGAAATGAAAAACATTTACCTTCCAACTTTATCTTTTTTTTTTTTGTGAAAGCCTTGAATCCGGTCGGGGGCAGACATTTCCAACCTCTAAATAACAGAAGTATCCACTCAATAATTAAAGAGATTGAAACACGAAGATAAATCTCTAATTGAAATAACTAAATCAAATCATTCTTCCATTAATAGGAAAAAATCATTCATATGCAACAACAAACGTGTCCAATCAAGGGATCAAAACAACACCACACATGATGAAATGGGGAGGCCTAAAACCCAATTTAGAACCCCCAAAAAATAGGACCTTTGTTTACACACATTCTCACCTAAAAAGCTCAAAATCAATCCAGAAAGTTAATAAATTAACAGCAAATAGGGCATTGTAAAAGCCCATTTTCATTACACTCACCACTTCATCATTTCTTCTGCTCTTCATCCAATTTACAGCTCCATTACATCCATACACATCACAAATCTCACTCCACCACATCCTTCACATCCGCCCATAGCCTTCGGTATTCCCCAAACAAAATCCCCAATTTCCCTTCTCTCCACTTCACTACCTCATCACACCTCCAACCAGCCTTCCTTTCAAAACACAAGTGGAACTTTCACTTTTTTGTCTCCATTACGTTCTTAACTCCTCCTTAAACCCTGAATCCATCGATATGTCGCGCTCGAACATCTGTATTTGATGTGATTCAATGATGGACCTCACGTTGTTACACTCCTCAATGTCTTTCTTATTCCTCTCAATGGGTGGGTGTAAATCACGACAGCATTTTCACCACCCGGAGGACACTTCTTTTTGAAAGATTCAAGGATAGAATCCGAAGAAATCTTCGCCTTTCGAGTAGTAAATGTTGGTAAAATGACCCTTTTGACATGCTCTTTCTCTTCTGATAATTCTCTCTCGTAACTCTAACAAGCTCCGGATCAAACAGAGGACTATAACTCTCTTTTTCCCGGGCAAACTCAATTCACACACTTTCTGCACGAACTCTCTTGAAAATTATTCACTTTCAAGATCGATCTCGGGCTAATTCTGATTTATTGGACAGTCACACTCCATCAACGAACATTATCTCTTTACCTCCAAATTTCTCACCTTCCTCGGCGAACCGAACTGATTGAAGAACTTCAATGGACTTTTCCCTTCAACATCCGCAAACCCGCGAAGTAAAGTACGTGACTTTGGGCTTTTTGGGTTGATTCGAAACGGGCATTTCTTCTTCCAGACCCTCCATGAGCTCCCAAGCGTTGATAACTTCTGGCTCTCCGCGAGGCGGCGACCTCTGCACGTTCTTCTTCTTCGTCTCCACAGACATCTCTTTAATGGGTTTTGTTCTTGGTTGTTTTTTTTTCCTTATCGAGATTCAGAACGCCGTAGGTGCTGGAAGTTAGAGAGACGACATGGTGCGTACTCGCCGCCGTTGTTGAGGATGATGTCCCGGCGGAGTTCTTTCTTGACGAGTTTAGAAGAAACACAACCCATTGGTTGGTGGGGGTTGGTCTATGTGTTACGTTCTTTCTTACGTTGTTGGTGGTGTTGTTAAGGAGAAGAGAAAATTGGAAGCAAAGACAAGACAACAACAGAGGAGTTATGTTTTTATTTTTTATTTTTTGTTTATTTGAATCTTAACGGTTATCATGTCTGAACGGGCCCCAACGGTCAAAATTTCGAATGTGATGGGCAATTTTCTTGGAAACCCTCATTATTTTTATGTTTTTGCCTCATAACTTTTTGTATTTCTTTTGATACTCAGATTTATTTTTGTTTGCGAAATGCGCACAACTTGTTTATTTTACCAAAATGTGTTATTATGAGAATATATATTTTAGAGTGTATATTCTCACAAATCATTTAGAGGACAGAGTTTCATAAACAACATTTAGATGTGTTTGATTGTTGTACTTATTATGTAATTATAAAATGACATTTACCCATAAATTTAAAATTAAATTACATAAAAAAATGACTTAAATTTAACAACTTAAAAATGTAGAAAAATAAGAAAAAACTATTCTTTTTCAAATTAGACTTATAGAATGGTGAAAATTATGTTAATAACCTTTCCAGTTTCTATTGTAAATTTAATAATTTATCACCATTATGTGTCCTTAGATGTTTCTACGAAACTTCTAAGTGTGAATTCTAAAAACTCTAATTTTCTCGCGGTAAACAAATGAGTGTCTATTTATAATTTATTTATACATAAAAAAAAAATTAAGAAAAATATGATCTCGTAGATCCTCTTTGTTTATTGGTGTTTTGTTAAATCAATTAGGATATCATATTCCATATGTGTAGATATAGTCTCAAAATTACTCATTCTATTATAAATAATTATTAAATGTTATACTTCCATCGTGTAATTACAATTATTAATTTGAAACAATCAATGTGAAACATTGTGCTTGAAACTGAAAGTTAGATGTAATAATCCAATAGTGTGAAAGACAATGACCAAATCTATATCATTAAGGTATTATAATCATAAAGAATTTCCTTTAAAAAAAAATTAATAATTAAAATGATTTTCTTTAATTAAATTATAAAATTGGCCTTAATTTATCCTTTAGTGAAAAAAATATTGAAAATTTATTTCCCAATCTATAACCAAGAAGAAAAAAATTTAAGCCTTTTAAATTAAAATTTTAAGTTTTGATTTTCAAAAAAGGCTCTAAATGGATTACACCAACAGGCCCATTTATCTTCATGTATTTGTGGATCTTGCCCAAATTTAAAGTTTATTAAGTTTAGGTTCGAGTGTGTTATTTGAATTACCAAAATTATTTGTAAAAAGTAAAAACGATTTTAAATAAATTTTATTTAAAAATTAACTTTAAATAGATCCTAATTTATTCCAAAAAGACCATTATATATATATAAGGAAGATATATTTATATATATTATTTATATATATATAAATCTCCTTAACATTATCAAGCATATAAGTAGTTGTGGCATATTGGCAGAAATGTGTGTTTTTTTTTTTTTTAAAGAATCACAAACTAAAAATTATGTAAATGTGTAAATCAATTAAAAGTTAAAAATAATAAATATGACAAAATAAACCCAAAGAATTAAGTATATATGTTACTTATCAAACTTATTTCATCTTGATTATTAAAAATAAAATTAGGGTTATGATGTAGAAAAGGAAATAGAAAATTTAAATTAAAAACTTATTTAGTAATTTTCGTAAAGGATAAAACTGTAATAAAGAAAAAAAATAGTAGTGGGGTGCAACTAAGATAAAATGTGGGGGCCAATAGTATCACTCTTTTTAAAAAAAAATATAATAATTAGTTAATTTTTAAAAAATTCTATTTTGTTTCTTTTTATTATAATATTAATTCGTTAATTTATTTGTTAGTAAAAAATTAGGAAAGAAGTTAAGTGGAGCATCACATTAAAGAAGTCGAAGCAAAGAGTTAGCATATGAAAATGTTATACATCTCATGTCTTAATTGGATGTGGGCTCAAACTTGGGCTTTATTTATGGAATTGTTTTCTCCTTTAAACTCTCTGTCAGCCCCAAAATCAATTAGAAAAAATAAGGCTTCGTTTGGTTGATTGGGAATACTACTTTTAGTATTCAAAAAAGTTAAACAGTAAAATACCCAAACATCACAATATTATTCAACTTTATTCAAATTTTTTAAACCCCCTAAATTTGTTAATCAATTAAATACCCCTAAATACTTTTAATATTTTGTTACGACGACTCCGACCACCCTCCGGCGGTGGTGGCCGGCTGTCCGTATTGAGGGTGGATTGGGGGTATTTTTGTTAACTTTTAATGTTTATTATAAGGGGTGTTTTGTAAAAAAACAAACATAGGGGGTATTTATCAATTTGTAAATCCTAAATCGTAATACCTGCCCAATTCAACTTTTTTTTTAACTTTTTTCAAAAAAATTTGCCAAAAACACAAAATTGTGAACCAAACGGAGCCTAAAATTTACTCAAAAAAACTATGATTTTGACCACGTTAGAAAAAATATAAAAACAAACCAAACCAAGGTTGAAAAAACAAATTTCTGCCATGATTTGCAAACAATGTCAAGGGTAAGAATTGAATGTTATGCTAAATCAAATATTAATGACATAAGAAAACAGTTTAAATGGTTTACTTCAAGCCATAAGTTACAAATATGAAGATGGAAGCAGAGTAAAAACGTTTAGAAAAGTTTCTTAAAAATTCCAAATTC